GGGGGGGGGGGGACAGGAATGATTCGAGGCTGGTTTCATAGCTGGATTAATCATCTTTGTTCTGACCTACAACGCCTCTATCTATAGGCTGCCACCCACCGGGCAGTACGCACTGTTGTCCAGCGTCTCTCGGAGAGACCGACGCGGTGAGAAGACAGAGAGAGAGGTCAGACAAAGTCACTTCTGTGGTTGAAAAGGGGTGGACGACCATCTGCCAAGATTCTCTGATTCTGCAGGGGTTTTTTCTATCCAAATTTTGTACTCTTATTGTTTAATATCTTACCTTGAGGCGGATAATAAACCGGCCAACAACAAAAAGGATTATTATCTTACAACCAAGTGCGGATCAAATGTGAGTGAGGGAGATGCGATGTTGGTGCAGGAATGACAGCTGCTGAATGGGAGAGCAAATAGCATCTATAGGGGAGCTTACGTGGAGACCGGCTGAGTAGCCCAACACGACGACCGTGCCCGGTTTTACCGAGCTCACAGAGCGTTTCCTCACTCTTCACATGCCTTATATCTACTCTGGACACTGCTTCCAAGAGATATCCCCAACGGTTGGGTGTTTCCTTTAAATAACCGATTACTGAGTTTCAACGAAAACGTTGGAGCTCATGTGGAGACCGAATGGGCGCACAACGCGGCGGCGCGCCGGTTTAACGGCGTTTTTATCCACGCTCACAGTTCTACCCCAGTGAATCAGCGGTGGACTCCGGATTGCCGTAGGTTATCGGCTGCCACCGGTCGCGCAGGCCTACCCGCAACGGGCTTTTGATGCAAACTCAAAGGGAACTAACCGAAACGCATCGCTTGCCCCGCCACCACTCTAGGAGCCCCGCAGCGCGGCCAGCGTTGCGCGGTGCGAGACCACAGGTTCAAAAAGTGGATATGATTTCTTATTTGGTTTGAAAAATTGTCTGACCAGGAGGAGGATTATTTAACATAAGATTTGCGGAGCGGAGTTCTTCCCCTGGCTTTACCAGAGGGGGAGATAACCGGAGGAGAAACAGCCTTTACCGGAGAGGAGGAGAGGGAGACGCGCAGGTATGACAGTCTCTTTAACTACTTTTCTCATCTGTCCGATTATCGCACTGTTTCCTCCCTCCTCTCTTCCCGCTATCAACGTCTGCTTCATGTGTCTTCTTGCTTATTTGGAGAGGTTAATTTACAATTTCAGAAGAGCTGATTGAGTACACAGAGCAGGGAGAGAGAGAAGGGAAGGCAGATGGGGAGATAATGGCGCTGGTATTTTGTCTCATACGATTTAGAGGTGGCGATATCTTTTATCTTGAAACGATGGAAGAAGGGGGAGATGCTGAGGGGGTTGTAAAGCACGGGAAGTATGAAAAAAATAGGTCTGAAACAGAACAGAAACAGAGGAGGTGAGAAAGTGCACGATGGGAGCAGAAATGGGATCAAATATCATGAGAGGAGAAAAAGAGGCAAAGAGGAGTCTGAGAGTTTAGAGGAGAAGGAGCGATGAGGGACGGATGGATATAAAGGGTAAAACTGAAAGGGAGGAGATTGTTGCAAACCTATTAAATTGGGGAGAAAGCAGACGGGCTAGTAGAGCAGTATTGGGGGAGCACAGACGGGGAGAAGTGAGACAGCACGGGCATCAAATGAGCTGGTAGGGAAGAGGGTGCTGAGATGGAATACACAGAAGGAGCAGAGAGTAGCTCGAGGAGATGGGCTGGGTGATAGGTGAGGTATTCAGGAGAAAGGGAGGACATAATGGCAGGTGAGAGGGAGGGCAGTTGGAGAGGTGAGTAAATAAAAAAAGAGAGGACAGGAGAAGGTAATGGAATGAAATAGATGGTAGTTGGGGGGTCGAAACAACCAAGAAGACATTGGCGAGGAATGAGAGAAGTGCAGGTGTTGCAGCTGGTATTGAAATGATCCTTTAAGAAAGCTCTAACAGCAGCATGCTGGAGGCCAAGTGTATAATACCCTGACAGTGCTATGCTGTATAGCAACTGCATGGTATTATCCAACGGACTGCTGCGTAATGGTCATTGCTGCACCAAGGAGACAGAAGGAGTGACACATAGAGAGAAGAGGGAAGCCACAGAAAGCTGCACACCGCCAACAATTTGGTTTGCTGTGTCAGCTCATCAGCTCCTCTTTACCTGGTAAATTGTCTCCTCCCTAACTGCCCCATTTGCATTTTGATGGGGTTCTGCAATGGCTATAAACCACCGTAAAACAAATGTAAACACATGCAAGATTAAATTAGGTTTGGTGGAAGTCTTTCACTGGTTTCCCTCATTCTGTCTCTAATTTTGTATATTGTTCAGCTGAAGCCTTTTTTTCAATATTTCAATCTCTCTTGCCTGCAGTACATTTTTGTCATTCATTCAGTCTTGACATATGTTTTAACATGTCTTGGAACATTCGCAGGTAAAGATTATGTTGTTAATGCATTTCAGATCACAATCTTAATGTATGTGATTATCATCTTATCAGTATCCTAACACGCCGTACTGCAATGGAAAATGCTGTAAGTGAATGGAATCATAAAGAGCACTTGCCTTCAGCTCGTGTCTTTGATCATGACCCCATTTGCACCACGACATCCACAGTAACTCAAATACTCACAGAAGATTTTACTAAGATTTAGCTTAGAGCCTCAAACTTGGCAAATATACCCAAAGGAGATTGCAGGCTGACTTTTCCTCCAAACCGACACGGAAATAAATTTCAATCGTGCTTGTGTGTAATTAGTAGTTGATGTAGATTGGGCTGTAATGAGCTGGGACTTGATTCTTTAAATCATCGTGGTTTCTGACATTTCTGTCAGTGTGCCAACATTTACAATATTCTGGGTTATAGCTGGTATTCTGATCAAGGTATTATTTTGAGATCCACTGCGCATGCATCTTCATACATTATCCCACTCATGAATACCACTATACATGAAAAAACAGAAAATTCTCACACTGCCATGGAAACAGTTTACACAGGCAGTCAAAAAATAAAAATAACAATTTTGCGCCTCTGGGAGACATTGTTAGGTCCAGCAGTTTTATTTTAGTTTTCTCATTGCATAATCCTAAATGATCCCTTAAATAATCGGAATTTTCTGTGCAAGCAAACACACTAATAAACAACAGTAATGCTTTTTAAAAAGCAATTGTTCTAAACATTTTTGGTGATGTTGCAGCAAGGTGTGACTTGAAATGGGACATCAACTGTTTCATGATTGTAAATAGCCATATTTGTGAAGTCACAGAATCCCTGACACTATACTGTATGGTATATACATTCATGTGAGAAAAAAGATGACTTGGCTGGCTGAGTTGACTTTCATTTTTTTGAAAATATAATTGTTTGTGTTTTGTTCTTGTATCTTGAGTTTAATCACCCTCGTTTGCTACCTCAGAACATATAGCACACTAATGGTTAAAACAGAGAAATAAATGTAATTTAATTTAGCTAAAGTTCATGGAATAAAGTTCATGTATTAATCTTTTTTGTCATCACTGAGTGCTACAACTTGATAAGCATATCAGTCAGCAGTTTAAATGTGCTGAAGAGTCAGGGTCTGCCAGACTGTATAGGCCGTAAAGAAATAGTGTGACATTTTCAAAGTACACTAATTTGTGTTTTTGCTCTTAAATTGACCAATTAACTTACGTACAAAATGTTCTGACTATGTGCTAGACTATTTCTTGGCCTGGTGCAGTAACGTCCTGGTTTTTGTATGAATTAAACAAGTGAGACACAATCTTTTCTTTTGTTAAGTTTAGAGGTGGTAGGTGGATTTGTCATATTTGGACCTTGTCTAGTTTCCTCCAGTTTCCAGTCTTTATGCTATGAGCTAAGCTAAGCTGCTGCTAGCCCCAGCGACATATTTACCAATAAGAGAGTGGTATGCTTCGTTTCATCTAACTCCCGGCAAGAACGCCATTAAGCACATTTCTCAAAATGTAGAACTATTCCTTCAAACATCAGGTGTTAGAATAGATTTAAGGCGCGACAGACCCACATATACTGTACAACCAGTTCAAAGGTGTGTGCAGGAAAAGCCGAACTTTCCTTCAGAGAGGAAGGCCAGTATGAAAACAGGCCGTGAAAGTGGCCCTTCATGATCCATCCAGTTTATTAGGGTTTACACTGAAGGTTACAGAAAACCTATCTGAGGGATAACTGGGGCCAGAAAGTGAGAGAGAAAACTACTCTCAAACCTTTCGATTATTTTCAACACTGCAATCATACAGTACGTATACTTCTGTCCTGTCACTCAGATGGCTTTACAGTAACTCAGATTAGCTAATACCTGGGTTCTTTTCTCCCTCCTAATTGAGTGCAGCAGAGGTGGGTGATTGATGGGAGATGACATGTGACAATTGAAAAGTAAGAGGGCCTTAAATGAATACTTCACCCAAGACAACCATTTGTAAACCAATTACTCACCCCATGCTACCCTGACTGTGTGAAGAAAACTGTATTTCTCTCATGCCTCCATGGTTAATGGAGAATCAAAAGACAGAGAAAAGTCTTGACGAATTGAAGTAAATAGGAACAGCAAAACCATCACAACATCCATTTATAAACTCTCACACTACTCTTGCAGTACAATCCGACTCTCATTTATCCAGTCGTATGCTCACTACTTACCAAACACATGCATTTGTTTTCTGAAACCTTACTATTTAAAACACTACGCATTAACAGTCTCCTTTGTCTGAATGAGTGCTTTCTATTCTTTTGATAAAGTTTTTGTGTGTGAAGAATTCTTTTAACAATTCTCCTACTTTTTGCAAGAGCTGAAAATGTGTGATACTTTATGTTTACTGTCGGCTATATTAAATTGTATTGGGTCAAAGAAGTGAAGAGGAAGGCTCGATTCTGAGGGGACGGAGGCTATTTAGATTATAAAGACACATGGAATCACATCAGTCCATTTTTACTTTGATATATTGATAGAACATGATCTGGCACTGACTTTATTATTGAAGTTGTATATGGATAACACAATTATACACCCTGAGTGGCATAGGTCTGCAGTACGGAACTAATTGTGTGTTTCTGACTCATCAATGACAATTATGATTCCTCCTAGTGTCTGATTGGCTAGAAACAACATCCTAGCACCTTTTGAACAAGCTTCGAACAATAAAACCTTTTTTTTGGTGCCATCTTAATTAAACACCTTTTATTCTGTCAACATCAGATTGAATAATGACGTTCGAGAGACGTGTATATTCTGCAGGAGTGTAGGTCTAATTGATTGATGTGTCTGTTTGAGCGAGGCAGAGAGAGCAGAAACGAAATGGAACACCTGTTCACACAGAGAAGCTCAATGAGTTTTAGAGAGAGAGAGAAGAAAAATACAGTTTCATATCCGTTGGGAAATGATGTATGGAGGTACAAGTGAGGCTCACACAGAGGTGTTTCTGACTCACACTACATGTTTATTTGTACACATTGGTGTATGGGTATTTGAAACATAATGGTTTTGGGTTTGCAGTACGGGACTAATGTTTCCAAGAGGCTAAAACGGAGTGATGTTGAAGTGATGAAAGATGTGTAAGGACGGACAGGCTGAAGAAATGGACTGATCAAAGAAAGGGAAGATAGAAAGGAGAAAGGCTGGAGGTAGTAAGAAGACAAAAAAATGGAAAATGCGAGGCTTTTGGGGGGAATTGATCTTTATTCAACACGACGGGTCAATTACGAACAAATTCTGTGGGGGAAGCAGAGAGAAGAGGAAATGCATAGAACAGTGAAGACAAGGAAGAAAAGAAGGAGCAGAAGGAGGAGGAGGGGGAAGGACAGGACAGGACACGTTCTGAGGGAGTGTTTGACTGAGGAGGAAAAGAGTAAGGAATCAGAAATGAGAGAAAAAAGTAGAGCATAATGTGAGAATATTTCGCCATCATGCTCTAGGTGTTAAGACTGTGATATGGCAACACGCTGTTTTATATATTTAACGTCCGAAATATGTCATCATGATGTTCTCAACACAGCGACATGCTATCCACTACAGTAGGGGTTTAAATGTCTGCACACAGTTAGTGTGTGTCTTTGTGTGTGTGCGT